TAAACAAAGATACATATGCAATGTATTTAAACACTTCATCATATACAATGATCAATTAATGCACATATTCAATGTGTTATTCCAACTGTCACATTCAATGACATATTCCAATTGATTAATTTCAATTTACCTAATCATCATGCAATTCTACAACAATCATGGCTAGCCCAAAACAGTTATTTCTAAACAAATAATTAAATTTATCAAACAGATAAATTAATACATTTTCCCTAGGTAAGCGATTTTCAATCCAACTATACCAATCCATTACATTTTCCCCCAATCCCATCATTTCCAATCCAATTATATATTCCCATAGTTAATTTCATTATGTTGGCAAATAACTCATTTAATCCCAATTAGGGCATTTTTCCCCTTTTCTCAAATAACAACCTTAAGGCTCAATTTCATCAATTGAACACCCATAACCCCATTTCAAAACCTCATATGCACAATGGAGCCCAAAACCAAGGAACCCCTCTTTTATAATTTCAAATCAAACCCTAACTTTCCAAAATCCCTACATTTATACAAATGCCCAACATTTATGTTAAAACTCATAAAAAAAATAGTAGATTATCCCTACCTCAAAGTTAGGAGCCCAAAGGAGAAAAAAAGTGAAACCCAAGATGCTCCAAATCCACAAATTTTCGGATCAATGGGAAGCCCAAGCCAAGCTCTAACTTTCTTACAAAGGGATTAGGGTAGAAAACTCCTAGAACATGGAGTATTTGTAGAGAGAAGGAGTGTGCGGAGAGAGTGTGTGTGTGTCGGATCTAGGGTTTGGAGATAAAAAGAGATCAAAGAGTGAAAAAGAGAACCGCTGCTGCGATCTGATATATTCGAACCTCGCTCGAGCGAAGAAGTGGTCGCTCGAGCAACCAGACACAAAAGAACCTCGCTCGAGCGCAAGAAGTGTCGCTCGAGTGAACAATGTGAAGTTTCAGGTCTGCAACCCAGAAGTACGCTCGAGCGCAAAAGTTCTCGCTCAAGCGAAGAAACTCAAAACATAGAGCTCGCTCGCTCGCTCGAGCGAAGAATACCAACCTTCAGGTCCAAACTAGACGCAGACGCACGCTCGAGCGCAATAGTGCTTGCTCGAGCCAAGGAACACATCAAAGAAAGCTCGCTTGAGCGAAGAAGCAAAAACCCAAGGCTCGCTCGAGCGACAAAAGCCTCGCTCGAGCGAAGAAGTCAAAATCTAGACAGCAACCATTTGTTCCAACACCCAACTAACTTGTTCCAAACTTACCCAACACATCCCAAAACTCAAATACAAGGAATTAAAGGATGGAAACAAGAATAAGACAACAACAACAACCACTAGACTCGAGTCCGAAATACAATACATGACGGGAAAAACCGAGATTGCTATATTTAATTTTAAAAAATTTATTTCATTAATAAAGTTAATATAATTAGTATTAATTAGTATCAATTAATATAAAAATTGATACATTTGATAAAAATGTAATGGAAGTATTATTGTTACAATTTTTTTCCATTATAAATTAATTAGTATCAATTAATTGCTTAATTAGTATCAATTAATACTAAAATTATTAATTAGTATCAATTAATGGTTTAATTAGTCTCAATTGATACTAAAATTATTAATTAGTATAAATTAATATTAATAATTAATTTTTATTAGTATCAATTACTATTAATAATCAACAATTGTTATTAATTAGTATCAATTAATAATTAATTCATTATAAAAGTATACAATATTAATTTATTAATAATTAATACCAATTAATATTTATTTTTTAATTAATATTGATTTTTTTCTTTTTCTTCAGAAATATACAATTTTTTATTTTTTAATTAATATAAAAATATACAATATGAATTTATTAATAATTATTACCAATTAATATTTATTTTTTAATTAATATTGATTTTTTTATTTTTCTTCAGAAATATACAATTTTTTATTTTTTAATTAATATAAAAATATACAATATGAGTTTATTAATAATTATTACCAATTAATATTTATTTTTTAATTAATATTGATTTTTTCTTCTTCTTCAGAAATATACAATTTTTTATTTTTTAATTAATATTAATTAATATAATATTTGGGTATTGACGAGGGCATTTAAGTAATTTTAGCCCCCCACACCAACTGCGCGCTTAAGTCGAAAATTTAAGCACCCCGTGACCAGCTTTTGAGATAAGTTGAGAAATAGCTTAATTTAAGCTATAAACTGGTTAATTTAAGCTGTAAGCTGGTTAATTTAAGCTGCACCAAACACAATATTTTAACTTAAATTAAGCTAAAAACAGAAATAAGCAGCTTATAAGCCCTACCAAACAGGCCTATTATATCATGTTAGAAGTTGTATGGTTGATATATGGGACAAAACATGTAAGTTGTATCATTTAAAGTTATGTTTTGAAGCACAAATAACATTCTAGAAAACCCATAAATCGGCTTCATCGCTCGAGCAGAGAAGTTTCCGCTTGAGCGTAGAATGCAAGCAACCAGTATTTTTGCAGACCAAGGGGTCTGCTTGAGCGGCCAATGTTGCGCTCGAGCGAAGAGCCCTATTTCAGAAAATTTTGAAAAGCCGTTTCATATTCCGATTTCCGTTCTCTTTTATTTTTAAGCGCTCTTAGGCATACATTGGGCATTATAAATGAATTAAAAGAGTAAGAAAGAAGCATACGAGAATTAAACAAGTTAAGAACGAAATAAATTGTATTGTGATATGATTTCTATGTGTGTTATGAATTGTGTAGGGTCAACTACAAGGGTGAACCAAGCATCTGAACACTGTGAGTAATACTTTACTAAAGATATGTCCATATATGCTATTTTTAAATACTACTCATGTGTAAGTGTTCTGGACTCGTGAATTCGAATTATGAACGAGCATTCTATTTGTCTGATTGTGCAAGACTATAATGAAATTGATAAGTATGAAGTCATCTGAATGGACCAAAGGTTGTTCAATGAATATGAAATGGGCCTAAAGGCCATTTTGTATATTTGATTACATGGACCAAAGGTCATTTTGCAAGGATATGAAATACGCCCAAGGCCGTTTGATATGTGTGTCAAGGACACGAAATAGGCCTAAGGCCGTTGAATACGAATGTGATCATGATCATGAATATGAATATGCACATAGATATGAATATGGAAATGATGGACCTGAGGTCGTTCTGTAATGTGATTGGGCTTGAGGCCGTTCAATGTCATGATTGGGCCTAAGGCCGTTCCGTAATATTATTGGACAAGTATTTTGGACCCGAGGTAGTTCCGTATGAATGAGTATTTTGGACCCGAGGTCGTTCTGTATGAATGAGTATTTTGGACTCGAGGTCATTCTGTGTGAATGAGTACTTTGGACCTGAGGTCGTTTTGCCCCTCTGATACGCCTTGAGCATGATGGATAGGACTTGAAATCGTTATGAGTTGGATTTACATGTATTAAGTATAAATATGAATTACTTAATTAAGAATCTCATTCGTATAACCTCTTTGCTTTGGTGTTATTCACTAGGCGTTAGCTCACTCCTTATATATATGTAGGTGAGCAATTGGAGGATCAACATTAGAGTTTGCCCCGGAGTCTACCTTTTTGTCAAGCCATCCAAGAAGTGCCTCTGTGTAGAGGCTTTATTTTATTTTGTTAAGCTTGGGTTAGTCTTTGTATTTTGTTAAAATTTCTTCATGTAGTGTGTGAGATATAAAATATGTCTTCGTACATATATATATGAAAGTGTGTTAAGAATGTTTTAATAACTGCAATTAATCATGTACGCACAACTCAATGGATATCATCATTTTTGTTTTGCTTCCGCTTCAGGCCCCGATAAAATTAAATATTTTGAAATTTTGTCTTTGAGGCCGTAGGTAATCTACAGATTACCAACCGGTTACAACGCTAAACCTATAAGGATGGGTTTGGGTCGTGACACATTTCCGCTTTCATTTCATTCATCTTGTCTTATTTTCTGATCTTTGCTACTCTGCTGAATCTATTATTATTTCTTTCTTCTCTCTCTATTTTTATTTATTTTTTATTTTTTTATCCCATTCAAACACAATACAATTGTGTGCATATTCATTTATACACAATGATATTCAGTGCTTCCTCCTTTCTTTGGTGCTAACTGTTGATACAGATTAACTACGGAATGGAGGCAATCTATTTTCTCTTTTAATTTTTTGAAGGTTTTTTTAGCCCATTTTCTTCTGAAAAATGCATAAACAGATCATGAATTTGAATTGAGATTTGAAAAAAAAAATGTGTGTAAAATGTAATTTTATTTTATTCATATTTCACTTAATTTTTAATTTTTTCTTTTTAAATTCTTACTCAAATTGATGATCCATGATCCAAATACCACTGAAGAAGTCAAGTACAATGTTGTACACAATAATTTAATTTACACTATTTTAGATCGTGAAAAAAAATAATTTATATTAAGGCCTAGTTTGGGAAGACTAAATAAGTGTACTTTTTGACTTTTTATGAAATATGGGTTGGATTTGAGTTGGATTTGAAGTGATGTGTTAGAGAGATGATGTGACTTAAATAAGATGATGTGACTTAAATAGGATAGTGACTTTTTGACTTTTTGTCTTTTTTCAAGCATGCCAAACTTGGCCTAAATTCATATTACCCTCAAGTGTACTTTTTGACTTTTTATGAAATATGGGTTGGATTTGAGTTGGATTTGAAGTGATGTGTTAGAGAGATGATGTGACTTAAATAAGATGATGTGACTTAAATAGGATAGTGACTTTTTGACTTTTTGTCTTTTTTCAAGAAAAAATAATTTATATTAAATTCATATTACCCTCATATTTTCACTTTATTCTTCTTCAAATCGATTCTCAAAATCAAAGACAGTCTTAGTCAATAAATTTTTTCCCTTGGTTCCCAAATCCCAACAATGCAAATGTTCAATTTGTGGGCTAACCAACGAAGCACAAAACAAAACAAAACAAAACAAAACAAAAACAGAAGACACACCGTTTGTACCCTTCATTCAAAAATTGCTAATTCGTGGCGTGGGTGATTTTCTCTCTCCATCTCTTTCTTGATTTCCATTTTTGGGTTGCATTCATTTGCAGTTGTATTGTATTTCTGCAACAAGGTATAGTCAGTGAGAGAGAGAGGATTTAGTAAGTGAAATGGCCAACATATAAATTGAGGGAATATTGAAGGAACTCCCGAATGATGGCCAAGACGAAGATCGTGCCCAACTTCTCGAAGTGTGCCCATGCTCGAGAAGCTTCTAAAGGCAGGGATGAATGTTGCCAAGTTCAACTTCTCCCGTGGTACCCATGAATACCAACCATCAGGAAACCTTGAACAATCTCAAGATTGCCATGCACCACACCCAGATCTTGTTGCTATCATGCTTGATACCAAGGTCCGTTTTTTGATGTCCTGTTTCAACTAATTCTTGGTTTAATTTTATTGTTTGCTTATTAATCTCCTATCTTCTCAGATATGCCTAAATGCTTGCATTTTGCATAAAAATAAAAATAAAAATTAGCCCATACGTAAGTGGATATGTTTGGTTGCCTAATACAGTTGCATTTTGGGTTAGAATATTATTTTGAAGTCTGGACCTTGTCCTCTGCATTGCTACTCCAATCATTGTCTATACTTTAACTCTCACCCGTCACCACTGCACTTGACTCCATGTGCTGAAGCAATGCTGTCTTTATATACGTATTCTAGTTCAGGCACTTGGGAATGGGGATTATTAACTTATACTATGCTTTGTTTTGAATTTTCCTTCTACATGGATGTTCTTGTGGAACTTTTTTCATTGCTTATTTTTCTAGTGGCTCTTAAAGTATTGATAGGCTGAATGCATGATTTGTCCCTTCTTCAGTTAGTTGGACAAAAGTACATTGGATGACCAGTCTATTATGTGCTTTCTGGTGGAGTTGGCTTTGATGTACCTTGGCTTTGATGGATTTTGCTCATCTATGATATTACATTAGGGAAGTATCCATCCTAATGTCTTTGACTTGTCCTTTCGAGAAAACATAACCAATTGGCATGTGGTGTCAGAGAAATATTGATAGGCAAGTGTAAATGCAGCAAAGCATTGGGAAACAATTGGAAAATATAATAAATACAACTTCTTTAAGCAAAATTATGACTATATGTTGCTGTGTTAAGGTGGTTCTTGACTCCATCCTGTCATTTGTGCTAAAAAAAGTGTCGCTTTCCCTTTTCTGAAACTTTTTTTTTTTCCTGTAAAATGCAGTTGCATTCCTGTAATGTAGTTCTTGTAGTTAGTTGACATGCGATGTGAAGCCACTGTTTAATGGATTCTTTTGCTGATTCTTTTGCTGACCAAGTTAATGAGTCATGAGCTACATATCTCACACTCTTACCTTTGTCATGTCGTGTGCACATGGGTACATTGGGAGAAGTTGAAAGAGTTCATGTCACTTGGGTCACTTATTATCTATTTCTTGAGGGTGGGCCTTTGGTTGTACTTTAAAAGAAATCTGTTTTTCACCTTTCTTCCCCCATCTAATTATTTCTCTGTCTTTTTCCTAACTAGCTTTGGATTTGTTTGCTTCTTATATTTCTTTGTATCATAGTCTTAAAACCTATCACCTACTCCACCTCACCTACTCCACTAAACCTAACCCACTACACCACTACCACCTCACCTACTCCACTAAACCTAACCCACTACACCACTACCACCTCCACTTTACCTACTCCATCTACCACCTACTACCACCTACTCTTCTATATATAGGAATCATTGTAACATTCAATAGATCTATCAATAATACAATCAATATCTATACAATTCTCTATTTCTCTTTATACATTAAATTTTCTACATGGTATCAGAGCAGGTTTAGAACCTAGTATTTTCGCTTCCCCGGCGGGCGGCAACCTCACCTTAGCCGCCCGCCGGACCTCAACCTATTCCGCTGTCATCTCTATCAATACATATAGCTTCCAGTTCGCCGCCACCACAGGCGACTTCTCTACATACAAAGATCAACCATTCTCATCTCTCTCTGAGATGAAGAGGCCAACCTCTCTCTCGGCAACTCTCTCTTCGGTTTCTCTCTACACCACCTTCTCAACCTTTTAGTTCTACTACTGTGACCCTCTCTATGATGGTTTTTTTTTTTTTTTTTTCTCCGTGTTTGGATTCATAACAAAAGTGCCTTTGTCTTTCTTTAAAAGCACACAAATTACAGTTCCACACTGCGATAGAACCCATGACCAAAGTCTTGTGGTGGACACTGCATCCAAACAAATTGATTGGAACAATAAGAAGCCAACAAAAACATGGTAATATTATAAATTTCATAATGAATGTTAAGGCCACACATGACACTAGTTGTGAGGTTCCTAAATATGACCATTATATTATTTTGATTCTTAATATTTAAATTATATCAATTTGATCTCTAATATATAAAAAATATTTCATTTCAATTTAGAGAGTGTTATAGTGTTATAATTATATTACTTATGATAAGATGCACATAATATGATATATTTTAAAAGTGCACACCGAAACATCTTAGGTATATGCAGAAAATATTTGAGATCCCAATAAAATCTTCACAATTTCACCCACAATAATGTGGAATGATAGATGTCAACGTTTGATTTGTCACACATTCAATCATATAGGGTTCTACTTCCTTGCCACATTGGGCGTATTTGGAGGTCTTAAATGTAGATCTCTAGCATTACTTATCACAACAGATAAAAACTAGCTAATAAGATAATTAAGTAATATATTTTATGTTATATAGATATATATATATATATATTCACTAGAAAACATAAGAGAAAGCTATTACTTATCTTGTTGCATTTGAACCTACTCGGAAAGAATAAACAGACGATGATCATGTACAAACATATAGCTACATTCTCACAATAAATATTTATATATATATATATATATATGAGAATGAGATATGTGAACTAGAACTATATATATATGTGTGTGTGTGTGTGTGTGTGTGTATTTATGTAGTAGTTGTCTTATCCTTGTGTAGGCATTCGAATTAGATTTTGGTTGTATGTATGTGGTTGTGCATTAATTTGGTTGCCCAATGAATGAGGCAAGGAGTTCCACAAGTGGTTCGACTCCTCTTAGTATTTCTTTGTGAATAAGAGATTTATAGTAGGAATATATCTATATATAAAACTAGTTTGACAACGTTCCTCCTTAGAAGAAGAAGAAGAAAAAGAAAAAAAAAAAAAGAGCGAATAGTGTGTTTAAGTTGGCTTTGAAAAGCTGAAACAAATACCCCCAAAGAGCGATGACAACTTGACATTGATTCCCTTACTAGATCAAATTTCACTATCTCCTAAAACTAACTGATATTACTAGATCAATTAAATTAACAGTCTTGCATTTCTCTCTTGCCAAATGAAATATACAATTCAAGCTTGAACAACTTTTGAAATAACTACATTTCTTCTCAAGTTGTGCAGTCATTGCACTCACCCTACAAGTTCAATGGACATTTTTGAATTCTGAACTTGGTCAAAAAAAAATTTGCCATAGATTGAAAGAAAGAAAGAAAAAAAAAATTATTAATACAAAAATCAAAAAACATAAAGAAAGAGTTTATTAATACAAAAATGGATCAGAAAATTATATATACAACTCTTTTATAAGAAGTTAGTGTCATCTTTGTAAGTTTTATATTGATATGAAATAATAATTATATTTAGTGCCAGTTTGGTAACACTTTTTTTCAGCTTAAAGCAGCTTTTGGCATAAATTAAGCTATGTTTGTGTGTTTGGTACACTTCTCCTCTCAAATGGCGCTCTCTTCTTCTCCTTTCCTCTCCTCTTGCTGCCGAACAACGAAGAATTGCTTCACACATCAAAGCTCGCCGGCGATCATCCCTGTTTTTTGTTGATCTCCACCAAAAAGTAAGATTTGAAACCCTAAACCCTATGTTTTGTTATATATAGATATACATATTAGATATACACATCGATTTAGGGTTTTTTTTGAGTTTTGGTTGCTCTGTGTTCAAATTCGATTAGGGTTCTTGTTTGCGTTTGTTTTTGGTTTCTGGTTGCTCTCTCTCTCTCTCTCTCATCGATTTTGGTTTCTGCTTCATGTAGGGTACCCCTCTTTCTGGTTCATGAAGGCAATACATCGATTTTGGTTTTTGGTTTCTGGTTTCTTGTTCATGTAGTCTCACATATGTTTTATATTTATCTGCATAATTTTCTTTTTTATAATTTGGATTTTACCCATATCTAATAAACGTTTTGCTATGTTTGCTATTATGGGTTCTCTGATCTTCTCGTGCATATATTTGGGTTTTGATCATCTGGGTCTCTTGCTTTTTTATCAAATTTTAGACCATGTTTAGTGTTTGCACTAATTTTGATATTTAGGTTATTTAAGATTTTTGTAATTATGGTTTACCTTAGACATGTTTATTGGATTTGATCTCATCTATATGCTCATGTGGTTACCTAATCCTACTTATTAATTATTATCCATAGTTCATGTAGTTTTCTATGTTTTTGCAATCCCCTTATTATCTGCCACTAAAGCACATCAACATCCTTAATCTAGTTAAACTTGCATTCTACCAATAGGAAATCAAATCTGCCCTCAACATCCTTTATCTTTGGCATTTTTACCCTGTCAAAAACAGAAAGGAAGTTCAAAATATATGAGAGGCATTGGATTATCTCAAACTTCTTAATGCTTAGGTTTGAATCTAAATCTTTGATGCTTACGTCTTTATGTTCTTCATGGTTTTGTTGATAAGGATCTTCTAGAATTTGAACCCAGCTTGTGAGGTGGATATCATGATTCATTCTTAAATAGATGCTACAGTTGTAGAACAGTTTTGGTTTAATGTTCCTAAACTGTTTTATTTTTTTTAATATTATATTTTATTTTAATTTTACCTTTCTCCTTAAGACATGAACAAATAATTTCATAAATGTTTGAAAATCTTGTCTGGGTTGACAATTCACCCAAGCCAATTTACCATCCAAGCCAGCAGTGTAGTTCTGCATCATTAATGAAAATCTTGTCTGGGCTTTAGGAGAATAGGGAAGAAATGTTTGAAAATCTTTTCATAGATGTTTACCTTTCTCCTTAATTTTACCTTTCTCCTTAAGAAACGCCTTTATCTTTTCGTAAATGTTTGAAAATCTTGTCTGGGTTTGTGAAGGCCTTGTGCGTATAATTTTTGTCACCACAAAAAAGTATAACTTTTACTTTAGGAGAATAGGGAAGAAAAAGTTTTGTAAAGCACATTAGGAAGCCTTAAATTCAAGCATGCCACTAGACTAGACCAATCCCTTCATCTTTAGTTTTAGTTCAAAAAATATATAAGTTTCCTATATGAAAAAGATTTCAAATGAAAAAATATAAAAACAAAATAACATATGTCTTTAAAATTGAAGAACCAACAGGTCTTTAAAATTAAAGAACCAATTGGAATAATTTTGTACCTTCTTTTGGGAGAATACTCTTGAACGTCAAGGAGCAACACCTTTTGCCATCTTTCTTTGATGACTGTTCTTGGTAGTGTTCTATGTCATGTTCTATGTTTAGCACTGAATTTAATCTTTCAACTTTATTAGTTGATAAATCTTTTAACTTTATTAGTTGATAATTTTATTACATAATTACAAATAATTCTCCCATTTGAAATGAGATCAGTGCACTTCAAATTTTTCTAGGAACAAATGGGTGCAAACAAATTGTCATTATGTTAGAAACATTTTATTCAATCAATACTTCGTGGGTGCAATGTATTTACAATTAGCTTTCCAATAAGGATTTGGATTCAATTGTTCCTAATTAATGCTGAGGCATGTCATCCTCTAGTAACTATTATTCTAGTGGTGAGAGCTTCGACTTAAGGTATGAGGCTTTGAAATGTGATTGTGGGCTAAGAGCTGCCATAAGGGTTACCGAGTCTGACAAGCCATCTAAAGGGAGACTGTATTTCATTTGTGAGAAAAGAAATTGTCAATTTTGGAAGTGGTGTACCCCAAAATCTGTAACGATGGTAGAGAGGCTAAAGAACGAGAGAATGCTTGATCCAAATCAAAATATGGAGACTGTAGGACTAAAAGTGAAGAACCAAATGCTTGAGCAATCCAATACTTTCATGAAGCAGCTTGTTGTGGGTCTGCTCACGATTTGTATTATTATGTCAATTGCATTACTCTTCAAATGATGATAGGTGCCGTTTAGAGATACCCGGTGTTTTTGTGCTAATGTAGTTTACCATGAACTATACTAAGCTTTGTACCCAATGAATGTTGACGTATTTGCCATGTATGGTTCTTTTGTACTAATCTAGCTGTTGTAATGCAAGCACCGATGAATGAGTTTGTTTTAAAAATTTTTTGTCTTTCATAGAATGAGTACCCAAGAGGAAACACAATCTGAAAATAGGAAGAACAAGGGAAAATCAAGTCAAGTACCATCCGTTAAAGCTCATTGGGATGCAAAATCAAATGAAATTTTTATTAAGCTTTGTGTTGGGCAAGTGAAGGTTGGACGTAGACCTGGTACACACTTAGATAGGGTCAAGTGGGAAAATGTGATAACTAAGTTTAAAAGTATGACTGGAAAAGCATACCAACGAATACAAATAAAAATCATTGGGATGTGTTGAAAAAATATTGGCTTTTAAGGAATAATATGTTAAGGGGTGAGACAGGCTTAGGTCGGGATACATTGACTGGAGCTATATCTGCATCTGATGAGTGGTGGACCAAGAAATTGGAGGTACGTGAATTGCTTAATATACATATTTTGTTTGTTTTTTGTTTAAATACACCAAATTTTGTTACTTGAAATTGTTAAATTTTACTTTGTAATTGTTGCAGAGGTATCCTAATGCTGCTAAATTCCAACGTATACCGTTGCAATTCACTGAAGACTTAGACATACTATTCTCAGATGCAGCAGCTATAGAAGAATGGACATACACTCCTAGCTCAGGGTAATGCCTCACACTAATGAGACTCCGGAGGAATTTCATACTCCACATGATGCTAAATTTCATGATGATGCTGATTTGGAAGTGGTTCATCCTTCCGAATTAAACAAAAAATGGTCATCAAACATTGGTGGTTCATCAACCAAGAGCAAGACAAAGAAGAAATTTACTAGTGCCGCTCTACTGAACAAGACACCTGATCGTATAGTCAATGTGGTTGAGTCATCTTCAGCAACTTCAACACAGACCTCATCAAGATATCATTCAATTGCAGAATGTTTGGCGATGTTGGAAAGCATCCCTGGTGTGTCCCCGAATGATGAGCTGTATGTATGGGCTGCTAGATTGTTCTTACAAGACAAGCGTCGTGAGTTCTTCATGAGTCTTCCTATGGATGAAGTTCGGTTGAGGTTTCTAAAGTTGGAGATTAAGATGGAGAAGACCACCACATGTTATCACGGCTAATTGTTTTTTAGATGGACTGTTGTGTTAAACTCGTTATTTTTTTTCTTTTATTAATACTCCCTCCGTCCCAAAATATTAGTCCCTTATTCCATTTTTCATTGTCCCAAAATATTAGTCCCTTTTCAAAAATCAAGTACAAAAATAATATAAATTTCCTATTTTACCCTTCTTTTAAATTAATAAACAACATAAAAAGTACAATTATGCATTGATATTCCCAAAAAATGTACTATCAAAAGGATAATTTTGGAAAATCAACTTTTTTCAAATGCAATAATTGTACTACCAAAAAAAGTTGGATTCCCCAAAAGGGACCATTATTTTGGGACGGAGGGAGTATTTTGTTGGACTTTGATGGATATTATTGACTATGTTGGACTTTTATTAATATTTTGTTGGACTTTGATTAATATTGACTATGTTGGACTTTTATTATTATTAATATTTGAGTAGGTGGCATTTTCTTAGTTGAATGGTAAGTGAATGATTGACTGGTTGAATGTTAGTTGAATGGTTGAATGGTTGGTTTCAATTTTGAATATGAATAGTAGGTGAATGGTAAAGACTTTTATATATATATATATAGATGTTTTCCAACTGGTGTTATTATGAGAAAGGTTGAATTGCCTTATGCTTGTTGTGCAATATTTATTTTTTGTACTGAATGTCCATCTGTTGCTATGCTGAATTTCCATTTGTTGCTGTTGTTGTGCTAAATTTGGAGGTCATTCTGGTTTGCATTTCAAACTGTTGCTGTTGTATTGCTATGTTCATTGAAGTTAAAATTTTAGGAAGTTAAATTTGCCTGCTATTTTTAATGATCATTTTTATTACATCTAACAAAATTTTGCTTGTTGTTTTATTACATTAAATTTGCTTGTTGTTTTATCCATCAAAATCATTTGCATCTAACATGCAATTAAACAGAATAAAACCCCAAATTGGATCACTAATCAATCTGCATGCAGAAGATATTTGTCAAAGCAAAAAAATAAATAAAAAAAAAAAAGTGAGGTCAGATTTTCATTAGTGCATTATATGTGGTAAACAAACAACAGATATGAGAAAGTATTTTTAGAAAAAATACTTCATCCATGATGAACCTTTAAAAAATATGCATTTTTTTTTAAGAAATACTTTAAGAAGTTCAAATTTTTTTTTGTTTGGCAGAAAATAAAATGATGTGAAACAATACGTAGGGGTGATTGAACTTATCAGTATTTTTATTTCCGAAAACAAAAAGAAAACATTGAAAATAAAGATGATAGGAGTTAATTCATAATCACAATTCTTCTCTCTCTTTATTAATTTGATGGGTGGAATGGAGTATCTTCAGCTGACGTTTTTAAGTTAATTATAAATTGGATGGTATGTATCAAAACTTAGTTGGATTAGCACCTAAAATACAATCTAATTTGTATATTTTTTTAAAAAAAAGTATGCACTTAAGTGTTCCAATATCCAGTGACTCTATGTTGAAAATTCAGTGTAATGAAAAATAAAAATTAATAAAAAAATATTTTTTATGGGTAATGCAAAATGTTTTTTATTTTTTAAATATGAAAAATATTTTTCACATTAAATTCTTATTAATGTTACCATCATCTCCACCATTACACCACCCCCACTTTCCGCCACCATTAATTTAATCATTAATATATTAATTCTAAGGATGCATTTAAATATAAAAAATTGAACAAAAAAATCATAAAAACTATTTTTCGTGAAGTCATGATTATTTATAATGCTTAATTTGGACTAAAATCTAATTACAAAAAAGCAAGATCATTCTTGTAATAGTAACTAAACCTTTAAATTGGTAGATATTTTGGAGATGAGTAACAGTGATGACGAATGGAATGATAATCACTATAATGAAGATACTGAAGATGAAGACAACACATTACAAACCCAACAACATATTAATATGCTCTTAGTTACGGCGGCAACAGTTGCAGTGACATATGCGACAAATTATTTGATAAAAGAACCAGTAGGACATCTAGTTTATCAAAGGAGAAGTGGATGGTAGAATTACAAGAAGGGAATCGGACAAGAATATTTGAAAATTTTCAAATGAAAAAAGAGGTATTTTATCAATTGTGTAATTTGTTACAGACAAAGTATGGCCTTGAAACTGGACGAAAAGTCTCATTTAAGAGTAGGTTGCAATATTTTTGCATATTGTTAGCGGTGACATTCGAAACAGAAATGTCCAAGAAAGATTTCAACATTCCCATGAGACGATTTCAAAATACTTCAAGAATGTGTTAAAAGCTATTACAATGATGCCTATTGATTGGATAAGACCTCAATCGAGAAATGGTGTGCATCCATATATTCGAAGCAAACGCAAATATTATCCTCATTTCAAGGTAAAAAAATAATTACAAATAGAACTTAGGTGTTACATATAATAATGTTGATCGGATATTTCTAATAATCAGTGACTAAAAATAATTTTATGAACTATTTTGTAATAAGATTGTATTGGAGCAATTGACGGAACACACATCAAAGCAT